GAGGACATGGCGAGGCGGATCACGGTGAGTACACTCGTGTGAGCTCAGCAGTACTTCCACAACGGAGCGCATGCTTTTGGGGGGCAAGAGATTCCTTGTTCGGCACACAGTTACTTGGTCATGCTTGCTGCCTTTCGCTGTATCTTCTGACTGTAGTGAGTTTCTTTTCCTCGACCCTCAGGAGGGCCTTGACCAAACGATGAACGGCGGGGAGAATTGCGTGAACTTGGCGCTGGTGCACAAGTACCCTGTCAATGCTGACGAGCCACCGCCGCTGGACCAGCGTGTATTCAGTGTCATCTCCGTCAATGCCAACAAGGATGGATCCATCGTGTATGCAGCAGAGGCAGGCGGGTCCAGCGACCAGGCGGTACCGGGGCTCATCTGGTGCGAGGCCTGTAACCTAGGCGTACTGCCACCCGTGCCACCACCCAACCCTTTTCCCCGCAAGCTGTCAAGTGCGGCGAGTGGTTGGTACTCAGCGGAGGCCGATGCGAGTGCGGGGGCGGGGGCTGGCGTGGCTGTTGGCGGTAGTGATAAAATGCTGGGCAAGAGGCGAGCACGGTCGATGGAACTGGCGGAGGTGGGGCCTGCCGCCGCTGGTACATCAAGTGGTGGTAGTGGCAAAGGACGAGACAAGAAGCGAGCACGGGGGCCTGACGTCCCGGCCGATGTGGCTGATGCCAGGTTCGCGTCGACTGCAGGTGGCTATAGGCCGATAGCTTCGGTGTCGTCAGCAACCGCCAATTTACGAAACCACCTGAAGACCGACACCCACAAGGCTAACCTCGCCATGATAACCTTGCGAGCACAGCAGCGGCCCGAGACCTTTAACAAGCAGCCTCAAGTCCAATTTGGGTTTGTGCGACTCGATCCTTTTCTCGTCAAGAAGGCGGAGCGAGTGCCTGTTGCTGGCGCCCCCGCCATGCAACCAGACGCGCCGGATGTGTATCAGCGCGCTCCCACTGCCACAGCCGCCCATGTTCATCCTGACCGCACGACCCCTCCACTGCCTCCGCTGCCACATTTGCGGACCCACGGCCTGCCGCCGGGCATGAACCGCGGTGTGTGCCTGCCCAGGGGTGCCGGTGTCGCCGGGTTGCAGAGGGGTGCAGCTTCAGCTCACGGTGGTAGTGGGGTGTACGGACCGGCTGGTGGCGACTATGAGGCGCCGCTGCCGGACCAAATGGGTGCTGGACGGAAGCATACGGGGCTGCTGCAGCAGCAACAGCAGCGACCACGGCCGCAGTACCGGGGGCTCCAGCGACACCAGCAGGCACAGCAACGTGGTGGAGACAGCATGGAGGGACAGCTTCAGCAGCAGTGGCGGTATCCCATACAGCAGCCACAGCACAAGCCAACGCCGCTGCCGTGGCGGCAGTCAACACCACAGGAGCAGTTGCTGGACGACACTTTCCCTGCCTACCACCAACAGGACGAACAACGGCAGCGACTGGGTTCTGGAGCCTCTGCATATGGCGCTATGGGCTCGTCGGGTGCAGCCGGCATCGACATTGACGACCCCTGGGAGGGTGATGGCAACGATGCGGGTGTAGAGGCTGAGCCGGAGGAGCACGGCATGTCTCCCGGGAGGTATGAAGACCTGCCACGGGGACCAGGATCAAGTGTGGCCTCACCCAGCGAGGACACCTTTGTGTACACGCGAGTGGGGTCCGGTGAGGTCTGCAAGGGTGCGGACAAGCTTTGGCACTGGAACCAATGTCCGGTTTGCTTGGAAGACCACCTACTGACCACGTGCTGCCATTGTTACANGGCCATCGCTAAAGTCCATATTAAATAGGTTGGCGGGATGACGTGCTATAAGTTCGGCTGCAGGGGAACGGATAAAGAGCCACATGCGCAGTACGCCTACGAGGTCACTGTCTAGTTGTGTGAGGACTGACTGCTTTCAATTTCATAGCCATTTTCATACTTTCTTGCATTTGCTCCCGATCATGAATGACCGTGTGGCCCATTACAAGACTATATGTTGCCTATGTGCAGAGCACCGTACCCTGTTGCGCGTGCACGGACCCTCGGGGAAGCTGAGGCACGTGTCACCATGGCCGCTGGTGGGTTTTTTGTGGAAGCCAGCTGTGCGCTGCTGGATATCGCCGAGCAGCATCTGTTTGAGGCGGAAGGGTACAAGTCATTCCGCGCGTATATTCTTGAGAGGAAGTCGCTGGGGTTTGGGTACCGACAAGCGAGGGCATGGGTGGCGGCTGCTCATTTCATCCGGTCTTTGCCACCTTCCATGCCTGTGCCACAGTATGAACGGCTGGTCCGGCCATTGACACGATGCGAACCAGGCGTGGCAAGGCTGGCCTGGGAACGTGTCTTAAGGTATCATAACGAGGAGGGACGGCGCATGACTGCTGAGCTCGTGGTGTCGTGCATCCAGGAGGTGGGAACAGCCAGCACTGTCGCACAGAGTGATAGTGAGGACGAGAGTGGCATGGCCGATGTTGTCGCGCCTGTTACCGCTGTGTCAAGGGCTAACGGCCACGATGAAGATGCAGTCCCGGCGGGTAGCCGGCCTATCTTTTTGCAGAGTGCATCGGTAGAGTGGTACACTCCACAGTGCATCCTAGATAAAGTCGCAGAGATGTTTGGGCCGGGGGGAATTGACCTGGACCCGTGCAGCTCGGAGGCGGCAAACACTAGAGTTAAGGCCGGGCGCTTTTTTGATGTGGCTTTGGATGGCCTCAGTGAGGCATGTAGGTGGGAGGGGAACGTTTTCGTCAACCCTCCTTTCGGTTCGAGGGGTGTGCTAAGCATGCAGAACTTGTTCTTCGAACGGTGTGTGAAAGAGTATCGACAAGGGGCTGTCAAACAGGCGGTGGTCCTGCTGAAGGCCGCTGTCGGGTACAAGTGGTTTAGGGCAGTGTTGGAATGGCCAGTTTGCTTCCTGTGGGAGCGGCTTGCATTTGTGCAGCCACAGCACACATCCGTGGGAGAGT